AAGGGTATCTTTAAGGAGATCAATGGAGTAAGACCTTGCTTGTTGGTATTTCATTATAGTTATGAGCATGAGCTCTGGTGCCATCTGGACCAGGATTTGAATCTGGGCTTTAATAACTGCTAGCACTGTGACTCTGGGTAATTAATTTTGCAAAGCCTGGTTTCCTCATTTGTAAATATTTTCTATCCCTCAAGGTTGCTGTGAGAATTTAATGAGATAATAAATGTAAAGCACCTAGTACAATATCTAGCATTCACTGAGCTCTAAATACATGTTAGTTATTATTGCAGCAACTGATACCAAAAAAAAAAAACACCTGGCTATGAAGTTGTAGCTCTGAGTTTTGTACAGGAATAACAAAAAAAACAGTTGCTATCGAGTCAGTTCCGACTCATGGTGACCCCATGAGTGTCAGAGTAGAACTGTGCTCTACAGGGTTTTCAGTGGTTGATTTTTCTGAAGCAGACTGCCAGAGCTTTCTTCTCAGGCACCTCTGGGTGGACTCAAACCTTGAACCTTTTGGTTAGCAGTTGAGTGCATTAACTATTTGTATCACCCAGGGACTCATGCAGAGAAACAGTAAGAGCCGTGTGGTCTCTACATGACATGATCCCACCAAGGCTGTTATGCCTCAATATACACACAAAAGTAGAAAAAAAATTTTTGTTTAGTTCCAAGAAGTTGGAGGCTGTGGTGGAAACAAGATACTGCCATCTGAATGCCCCAGTATGCATCCTAGGAGGCAGTAATTTGAGGGTGGGGATGTCAAGAAAGAAAGAAAGCTCAGGGACAACAGTCAACTCTGCCACATCTTTGGGAGAAAGACAAAAATGCCTAATTTCCCTTGTCCTCTGTTTTATAGCATCTCCATCAACTGATTTAATCTGGCAGGTTCCCTTCCATGGTAGCCAGACCCACAGGCCACCCAGACTCATGAAAGATGGCCTTGGCTGCTCAGAGACTGGGTCACTGATGCACTGACAGAGCACCTTAATTTCCTGAGCTACTTCCAAGGGCTGGAAGGGGAAAGTAGGAACGCTCTGCTGTTTGTGGGACATCAACATCCAATGCTAGGGACTGGTGGACTCCAGGCCAACGTCACGCTGTGGTAAGACCCAAAAAGGCAGAGGCAGCATATGGGCAAGGAGGGAACTGCCTTATCCCACCTTAGCTGGCTTTTTAAATAATTCTCTGGCACCACATAACTGGCAATACAACCCCGGTGGTTATAGTCCTATGAAGGTACAAGCAGTAGGGGGAGGGGACTGTTAATTCTTAATCCCAAGAAAGGAGCATTTTGACATGGAGTCAGAAGTTCTGGGTTCAAATTTAAGCTGTCCCACTTATTATCCATGTGACTTGAAAGTCAATCACTTAAGCTCACTTAGTATGTTTCTTTAACCAAAAAGTAGGAATAACAACAGCTCTCTCTTAGGGTTATAATCAAGTAATATACGTGAAGCATACATAGGAAGTATTTCATAAATACTGGTTGAATCTGAACCTTATGTGCTATGTTTACCCCAGTTATTTCTGAACACAGTTGTCAGAGTCTATAACATTTTAATGAGCAGGACAATGAGTTGTATTTTAACAGTTCTCTGAGATATATCCAAGAGACCTGAGGTTGGTAAAGGAACAACAACAACATAACCACATATACACAGGATGAAAAAATTCGGGAAATAAACCTAAATGCCAAATTAATTATCTATAAAAGCTATCTGATGAACCCCTTAGTCTTTTAAAAAGAGCTGGTCATAAAGCATGAATAAATTTGATGAGTTGACTGTATTTCACTTTCCAAAAGGCAGTAATATCTGGAACCTACATATCTAACCAGAAGATTAGTGAAGTGATTAACTCTTCAGAGGGTATGATAAAAATAATCAACAGAGTAAAAATTTTTAGCTATTTCTAACAAACCTGGTTTTCACACACTGTAAAAAATGGCTCCACAACAAAGGGAAAAGGAGAGTCAGGAACAGGACGAGGATATGGAATGTGTGGCTAATCACCTCCATGAACAACTGACTCCTTTGCCATGAGACCAGCAGAACTGGATGGTGCCCAGCTACCATTACTGAACATTTTGATCAATGAGTCTATAGAAGAATCTTGATCTAAAGGGGAAAAATACAGAACAGAATTTCAAATTCTCATGGGATCCAGACTTTCTGGAGCCACAGAGGTTGGATGAACCCCTGAAACTGTTGCTCTGAGATAGTCTTAAAACCTTAAACCCAAAATATCCCCTGAAGTCTTCCTGAAACCAAACAATAGCTTAACTAGTAAAGAATGTCTGCCTTGATCATTGTGCTTTTTTAAGATCTATTTATATAGGGCCAAACTGAAAATAGCAACTTGAAAGACTAGACAGGATATTTAGGGGGCAGTGAGTTTATGTTAATAGAGCAGGAAAAACTCAGGAAAGGAGGGTGAGAAATACTTGAAGAATGTAATCAATATCAATGAATTGTATATGTAGAAACTGTTGAACTGGTGTATGGATTGCTGTGTATATTCTCAACAACAACAAAATAAATAAATAAATAAACAATAGGGAAAGTTAAGGAAAAAAAAAAAAAACTGGCTCCAGTTAAGGGAAGATGGAAAGAAAGAGAGAGAGAGAACAAATCTGATATTGATTTACAATCCATTGTTAGAATAAAAATAGACACAGCCCCAGGTATCTAAAGAGTGTTGGCTTCATGTTAACCAATATCATAAAACAATATGTGTACTAACTGTTTATTGAGAAACTATTTGTTCTGTAAACCTGTGTCTAAAGTACAATTAAAACAAAAGGAGTGTTGGCTTCAGACCCTCAGTTACTGTCAGCTTGTTTGGCAGGGAAGTTGGGGGAATCCAAGTCCGATCTTCTCTATTAAATCGCCCTGAGATCAGAGACCCAGCACAGGGTCTGGCACATGGAGGGTACTATGAAATGTTTTTGAACAAAATAAAATGTTTTCTAAGACAAAAAGATAGCAGTAAACATAATTCTCCAGCAACTCCAAGATCAAAAGCTTGCTGTGAGCAGTGTCCTCAGCATGAATGCAATAGTCATTTTCCAACTTTTCAGTAAAGCATCATTCCTGGCTTACCTGTTCCCATGATCAATTTTGGCTGTGACCTTCTTCTTGAGCTCTGCCAGCTCATCCTTGGGGAGCGTTCCTGACAGGATCTGGGACCGGCACTCAATCAGGCTGTAAGTCATCTGCTGCAGCTGGTGGAAGAGTGTGACCTTGTTGTTCTAAGAGGACAAAAAGAGGTATTATAGAGGATGGGAACTTTTGACTGATTATAAATGTTATTTAATCGATTAATTTTTTTCATACAGTTAAGTTGGGCCCATTAAAAGATTTTTTTTGTATTAATAGAAATTAGTAGAGATGGCTTTGCCCTGAGCACTCCCTCCCTCCCTTTCCTATTGCAACTTTAAAAACACATAAGCAATTGTAGGATAGATGTTCTTGCTCTTGGGTACTCTCGTGTCGATTCTGACTTATAGTGACACATGTGACAGAACAGAACTGCCCTATAGGGTTTTCTGGGCTATAATTTTCACAGAAGCAGATCACCAGGTCTCTTCTCCCAGAGTGGCTGGTGGGTTCAAACTGCCGAACTTTTGGTTAGCAGCTGAGCATTTACCCATTAGCTACCAGGGCTCCTTGTAGGATACATGGGTAGACCAAAATCATAAATATATCAAATCATCCACGTACCCTAAAATTCTGACCACATCCGTCGTCTATTTAAAACCCTTGAGTGATTTCCACAATAGATAATACTGTAAAAGTCCCTTCAAATCTTGGCTCCAGCCACATTTCACATCAACTTCCACCTCGAATATCTATGTGCCTTCCATGGAAAACTACGTCCACTTCTCCCGAATGCTCTGACTCCCTCAACATGTTATTTTCTCTGCTTGGAACCACCTTCTCCTCTTCCGCCAAGCTGACCCTCCCCATACCCCTCTCTCTCTCACACTACATCCTCCATCGACTGGCTAATTCTGACTTCTTCAGGTCTTGATTTAGAAGTCTCTTCCTTGAAACCCTAAGCCTGGGTGAGCTGTCCCTCCCACAGCACCAAGATTCACTCTCATCAGAGACCTTGTAACACTGGATGACACTGCTTTGTCTGACTCCCTTAGACTGGAAGCTCCTTTAGGATAGGGAATTGGTCATTTTTTTGCATCCCTAGTACTTGGCACAGAGTAGCAACTCCTTAAAATATTCTGGATCAGTGAACTACGAATGCAAAAAAAAAAACCAAAACAAAACTGCAGTTTCAGAGATGAGAGATAATGGAAAATAAAATATAAATATTTTAAAAATATCTCTTTCCCCTGAAATTTTCAGATCAGTCAGGCATTAAATCGTTACTATGGGCTTCAGTAGTAACTTTCTGTACCTGAACTAAATTAACTTACAACCAACTATAGTCATGTATGTTGCAATCATTTACCAGCCAAATAACTGATATATCTGAAACATCATGACCTTGGCTCTACCTAAATGATTCATTAGTCACTGAACATCTACTAAGTGTTGGGAATAAAAATCCTGCCCCTAAGGATATAATATTCTAGAAGTAAAAAGACAGCATAGATAAGTAGACTATATATAAATATATATATATACATATATATATATATATATAAGGAAACTTCAGATTATGAAAAGCACAGTAAGGAAAATAAACAGGGCAATAATATAGTGTGTATGTGGTAGTTATCACTAGTGTGGTCAAGGAAAACCGTTCCATGTATCACTTTGGGATATGAATTTTAAATAAAAATCTGTATAATTCCACTTATCCCATATATACTGTGATGGTTAATATTACGTGTCAACATGGCTAGGCTATGATTCTCAGTGGTCTGGCAGACATTGGACTGATTGCTCCTCCATAATATAATAAAATGTAATTACCTCCATGATGCGACCTGATGTGATCAGCCAATCAGTTGAAAGGGGAGTTTCCTTGGGACAGTGGTCCATTGCCATTATTGTCACCTGACCTGATTTTGGATTCACCAGCCCCCACAGCCCCATGAGCCAGCAGAGGCCTCTAGCCTGTCGCTTCACCTGCAGATTTTGGGTTCTTCAGTCCCTGCAATCACATGAGCCAGCAGAGGTCTTCAGCCTGCCACCTGACCCATGAATTTGGGACTCGCCAGTCACCGTAATTTCCTTGAAATAAATCTCTCTGTATATATTTATATATACGCTTCATTGGTTTTTTGTGGTTCAGTGGTTAAGAGCTCGGCTGCTAAGCAAAAGATCAGCAGTTCAAATCCACCAGCTGCTCCTTGGAAATCCTATGAGGCAGTTCTACTCTGTCCTATAGGGTCACTATAAGTCGGAATCAACTTGACAGCAATGGGTTTGGTTTTTTTTCCCCACTGGTTTTGTCCGTCTACTGAACCCAGACTAACACATATACTATGCAACAGCTTCTTCTTTATTAATAGATGAAAAGTCATATTTATGTAAGCATGTATTTCTGAAATTATAGTAAAATAGTATTATTTGCTATAAAAACAATGCCCCCCCACCCCCCCAAAAAAAACCCAAAACAAAGAAGTTGTTGATGGCTGTACAGCATGTTCTTTGGTGATGTTTTTCTATAACAATCTCAGGGACACAGACTCTGGGGCAAGGTACTGAATGAAAACATCTAAGAGACCCCTGAACAAAAAGCAAACATAGAAAGAAAGTCCTCAGCCTAGAAGTGGAGAAAATGGGAGATAACTAATGGGATTAGCTGAGTGTGATAAAAGCTTCAACGTAAGTTCAAAGTTCTATGGGGACACAAAGGAAAGAGATGTATAACTCATTTACATGTGACTGTTAAAAAAAAAAAAAAAGTGGCCTTGGAGTCGATTCAAACTCATGGTGACCCCATATGTTACAGAGTAGAACTGCTCCATAGTTTTCTTGGCTGTAATCTTAATGGAAGTAGATTGCTACGCCTTTCCTCTGTGGTACTGCTGAGTGGGTTGGAACTGCTAACCTTTATAGTAGCAGTCGAACAGAAACCATCTGCGCTTCCTGTGTTGATCTTGGAGCGCTGGTCGCCCAGTGGTTAAGAGCTCGGCTGCTAACCAAAAAGTCGGCAGTTTGAATCCATGAGCCACTCCTTGGAAACCCTATGAGGCAACTCTACTCTGTACTATAGCCTCGCTATGAGTTGGAATAGACTCGATGGCAATGGGTTTGGTTTTGGTTTATGCTGATCTTAAAAATATAGAAAGCAAAACCTGTTTAAATTTTTGAAACTATGTACTTTTTATGCTTTTAGCATTTTCTGAATTGCCTCCTTCTCACCAACCAGTCTTTAGAAAAGCATAAAAAATTGACTTTAAAAAATTCTTTTTTTAATAAGCAAAGATAAAAACACAAATTTTTTGTATGGTTTATCTTATATAAAATGTATCAATTTAATTGTCTTTCAAACTTAGAAAAAGGAGTGAGAAATTAAACCCATAGAATTAGCCCTTCAAAACTGCTAGACAGAAACGGGATTCCCCTTCCCCCCGTTTCTTATAATCCATTTGTTTACTCCTATTTAGATTTTTGTTTAATATTTTCTAAGTTTAATTAAGATATGAGTTCTCAAAATATGGCAAATAAAGCATTCAAAGGCTCAGGGCATCCTCTCTGTGAGGCAGGGCTTTGGGGCACATGTTCACAACTTCTTGGTCCCAATTATATTAGACACTGTCCAAGGCAATTTAATTATTGCCTGTCCATATCAGCCTTGTTTGCCAAGTTCTCCCCCCAAAAGAAGGATGAAGACAGCCATTCTTCTCTGATTCACTGTGCCAAGTGAATTCTGAATAGACAAGCTGGAACACCCCAAAGGAAGCAATTTTCCCATTTACTTTGAGGAAATAGATTTTGTTGCCACATTCCTCAGATTGTTCTAAGCAGGATGTTCAAATAGCTGGCCCCTGACACTTCATGGATTCCTGGGAAAGTATGAGGAGAAACCAAAAAAAAGCCACTGCCATCGAGTCAGTTCCGACTCCTAACGATTCTGTAGGACAGAGCATAACTGCCCCAGAGGGTTTCCAAGGCTGTCATCTTTTATAGAAGCAGACTGCCTCATTTTTCTCCTGCGGAGTAGCCGGTGAGTTCCAACCACTGACCTTTCGGTTAGCAGCCAAGGGTTCAACCACTCTGCCACCAGGGCTCCTATGTAAGGACAGGTGGGAGAAAATCAAGCATTACCCATAAGGTCAAACAGCAAGCTCCTCTTTGTCTTTTCTTATGAAACGCCTTTCCTCTTTCGGTCCTCTCCTATCTAAGTCCTGGGCAGCCCAAGCTAGCCTCTCACAGAGTGCCTTCTCTGCTGTCTCTCACCTTCACTGATCTCAGCTTTTTATTTTTATGTATTTATTTTTTTTACACTACTTGCCATTATCACATGTAGTGTATCAGATTTAATAATTTTTTGATCCTCTCCCCAAAAGTCAGCACAATCCTGGGACATTGTAGAGACTCGAAAACAAATTGTATTGACAGCTCAAACTTAAAATAACCATCTGGTTTCAATTTTAGGAGTAGCTACACAAAATAGAACAATCTGAAGATTTTTTTTTACCAGACAGTGAGAATATTTCTGCATTTGCTTAAAATTTCTCCCTCCTTTCCACTTGGGAGATGCGTTAGGTCTCACTTTTTACATTTCTGTTCCACTTGTCTGTCTTTTCTTCTTTCTTCCCCAGAGATAAAAACAGTCAAAAGAAAAAACGGCTTTGCCTTCAATGCTGACGGGAATACAGAAGCCATATGAGCATCACAGAAATCCTGGGCACCAAGAGACCATGGCACAGCTTCACTGGGTGTCAGAAAACCTAGATTCTATTAATTCACTTTTGCAAAGAATGTATGGCCACAGTCAAAAGACTTTTCTCTGATCCTCCACTTCTTCATCTGCAAAAGAATCAATATTTACTCTGTGCACCAACCTTTCCTCTTCCATGAGGCTTTTATGATATAGAGGAAAAAGTGCTTGACTGAAAGTATAGGGACTTCTTTTTCTATGATTAACTTGCTATGTGGCTTTGGGCAAATTAGTTCCTCTGGGATAAGCCCATTTGTTAAATAAAGGAACAGGCACTAAGATGTACTCCCAATGATAAGTATCTTTGAGTCTATGACTAAGACATTAAACTCAATTACTTCTTTCAGACATCTTCCTGACTAACCATGTCTGGCTTTGGTCATCTTACTATATACT